TACTGACTACGTGCCTTGAATTTCTTCAAACAGCCTAAGCATCAGACAGCCTTAAAGCACATATCACAACTAGTTCAATGACCAGCTTTCACATGGTCCTTTCCAAGACTAAAATTAGCTTGAGTAAAAAATGAAATACAGAAATATAAACCTTTCAGGATCATTCTAGACATATGTACAAACAGAAACAGAGCAGACTATTACTTTGGCTGTTTAACAAACTTTGAAAAGAAACTTGTTAAAGTAACAGTACAATTGCCTACAACCTTGACATCAGTTGAGCCAGAAGGGATTTTGGCTTTTTCTCAAGTTACTGTGGTTGGAGGGCTGCTGCTATTAGAGGACAACCTTTAAAAATAAATAAAAATAAATACTCTTTGCATAATTGTAATTTGTAACCCATGAATTTCATACTACATATGGACATCACTGTACTGTATTTACTGCAGCAAATGGTTTGTCAACAATGAAGCTCAAGAAGCCAGCTTTAGAGATAGAGAAGAGACTTGCTATTGAACAGAATTTGAAAAAGAAAGCATGCTTGCCCATGACAGCCTGAGGAAATAGAGAACACACTCAAGATGTTCAAACAAAGCCCAAAGTCCAACCAGAAACTGTTCATGTGCTGGAACAAACATTTGCAGGAGAGGAGGCCCAGAACTAACGTGTTCAAATATTGACCAATTTGGACCAAACTGTAATCAATAACTTTACACTAAACAACTGCAAGATGGATATGCTTGCAACAACTTCAAAATGAATATGCTTGCAGGGAGTGTAAGTAGCCTTTGTGAGTAGCTTTTCTGAGCTTTTATGCAAGTGTCTGACAGTCTTATGCAGAGTCTGACAGAGAGCTAAGGGCACACAATGCTTTGTATTCAAACCACAGTACTCACCTCTCTGAAATCTGTTTAAATGAGAGGGTTGAAAGTTCATGCAAAAAGTAGTCCAAGCTTCCAGTCACATGATTTCCTTTCTCTACTTCAGTTGCAGAATATCAGGGGCTCATATAATGATATCACAGCTTTTCGAAAAAGGAAAAGAAAGGTCATGCAACTGAGGAAAAGCTTTCAGAAGTGCTACCTAGACTTCAGTCTGTTGTCACTCAGCGGATGATAGAGTTTACTGACACTGGTCACGATTTAAGATTTTTCCAAACTTACAGATAAAAACTGAAGCCATGAATATAGAAACTATTCAAGTTCTTGAAGTCAGTGACTACTAACAGGCAATGCCTATTTGCGTTTCCACCAGAAACTACTTCATTATCTGTATAGCTGCAGTTTCTTGCTTGTTGTGGCCTAGAGTAAGGCACTGAATCTGTGAATGCTGCTACCTGTTGCCCTGTGAACAGATCTGTGCTGTATCCTGAACCTAACTTTTCTTGAAGCTATTTTCAATTATATAGCAAGAAAGTTCTCAGCAGAATCTGATCAAAACCACCAAGATGCAAGCATAGAAACAGGACTGTCTACTGGAAATGTCAATGGATGTACTAAGTGAAAAAGCAAGAACATTGATCCATTATTTCTATATTATTCCCACTTAAACAGCAATAAAAATGAGCAGCACCTAGATTAGAGTATGCACTTTGTGCTGTCCTCAGGGTTAACAAAGGCCTCTTAATATTTTACTGCTTTTTCTGTGCTTGGCCCTCGATCTCTAGGCATATCCTCAGTGCTATTTAAAATGCCCTTGTAAAACACTGCATCAGGAATGCACAGGACACCAGGCAAGCCCCAGCAAGCACTGTTCCTACATTCATGAATGCCAGTGCATAGGTGTGCTGCAGGAGAGAAAGGGTAGCAATGTGCAAGTGGGTATGTAGGCAGATGGAAAGAATGGGTCCAACACAGAAAGTGAGACAGACATTACTTCCACATTCACTAGTGCAAAACAGATGTAGGAGGGTGAGAAGAATTACTGAGTAGAAGAGCACTAAAATAGAAACACAAATAGGAAAGAACGATTATAACGGCAAGAGGAAAAATAAAGAGAAGGTATGAGAATGAACAAAGATGCTACTAGGCAAGTGAACACCAGAAAACAGAAAAGGAAATATAAGACTGAGCAAGAACCCATCAGTGAGGATAATACTCCCAGAAAAAAATTGTTGCAGTCAAGATGGTCAATTTATATCCCTGGCAGTGTTCAAGGCCAGGTTGGATGGAGTCTTGGGTAACATGTGAGGTTATGGCCATGGCATGGGGTTTGGAACTAGATGATCTTAAGGTCCTTTCCAACCCTAACTATTCTATGATTCTATTATATTGTCTGAACTAGCTGCAGCTAATAACTAATCCCCGGGGGGAGCGGGGGGAACCACACCACTGGTCAGAACAGCTAACAAGTTCAGCAGCTGTGATATGACAGAGCCATTTTCACAGTTTTGATACTTTGGTTTTCTGATTTGACTCAGGGCGGGCGAGGAAGGGGGTGTTCAGAAAAAACATGTCCAACTCAGCTACTGAATGAACCAAGCAATAATTGATTCCTACATAGCACATGCCCTCTTGACACTATATTTGGTCTGCACCCACCCATGTGGCAAACATACGGAATTCAAAGGAACAATGTCATATAAGACTTGTTAAACAGCCTGTTCAGCATATATCCCAGTTACCTGCTTGTCTCACTGTCCCATCTGAACAAGAAGTCTCTTTCAGGCTAAATGAAATCATTCATTACAATGAAGCTATAAAGAGTTTCCCCAGAGCCTGCACCCACATCCACCCTCATGAGAACACAGTTTGATGCACATGGAAGTTATAAATTCCCCTTCAGGGTAAGACCAGACGACATCTAGTGGAATATCTATGTAATAAGAGAAAGAGAATGATTCAGATTCAGTCGTGTAACTTTTCAATGGAGCGCCGCATCTGGTTAATGACTAAATCCTCCACTCCTATGTGCTTTAAATATTCTCAGAAGGGAAGTAGAAAGGTAACATTTTATGAAAAAATGGCAGTGGAAAGCAGCTGACTCAGAGAAACAAGTTGTAAAATCATACTGGCAACAAGTTGAATGGTAGCAGTCCTGTCAAGAGAAAGAAGATAGTCATCATAGTGGCTGGGAAGCACAGTGATGGCAGACAGGAACATATCGATAGCCCTTCAGGGTCTTTCAGTCTTTGAGAGCTTCCCAGCCAGCCAAAATCTCTGGTTTTACAATTCCTCTGCACTAATCCAAGGACAGATTTACCGGCAAGTCAACCACCTAAGACACTCGGGCAAAACTTAAGTGCCTGCAGATACCTACTAAGTATTTTTGGGTGAGATGGTTTAGAGTGAGGTGTCCCTGCCCATGGCAGGGGGGTTGGAACTGGATGACCTTAAGGTCCTTTCCAACCCTAACTATTCTATGATTCTAAATGATTCTTTAGATCGTGGTCAAGAATGCAACAAAACTGCAGAGTGAAATAAGCAACAAATCCTGTACTGAAATATCCTCCCACTGTTCAAGCTAAGGGGAGGTTTGGAGAAGTATTAGCTTCAGCTTAATAGTAAAAGCAAGCTCATGGAAAAGGAAAAAAGCAAAACAAGTTTATTTCAGTTTTAAGCAATATTACAGTATTTTTCAATATCTGTAATATGTAAATGAAAATATTTGACAATAAAGTCACTGGCTACTAATCCTCAGTCACTGAACAATTTAAATTTACAAAGAGATGATCTCATATAGGGTGTCCTGATGATGAACATCAGTTGATGATAGAAAAAAAGCCCTAAAGAGTTCATTATCATCCATTTTAATACCAAGATTTTAGTTGAGCTATCCTTTAATGCCCATAAATTTACTGCAGAAATAAAATATACTTAAGCTTTTGCAAAAGAACTTGCATATGTACATATGTATAGACAAAAGTTTTTTACATAATATATGTAAATCAAATAAATATCAAGTCACTAGTGTAGACTACCAAAGTAATTGGGATTTTCATTATGTAACTCTCCAGTGTCACATTTATTCATGTAGTGCCTTCTTTATAAAAAAAAAAAAAAGTATTGATTTAAGTAGTTTTAAAACTAAGATTCTTTATGGCCAATTTTAGCTTCTCATGTTTAAGCCAAAGTTATTCCCCTCAGATGTTTTTAGTATATAACTGCCTGTATGTGTAAGCATTAGAGATATTTTTGAGAAGACGGGGGAAAGTCAGATTGTATCATTATTGTGATTACTTGAATAATTAAGTCAAGCTACATTACATAGATATTTTCCTCTGCTCATTCCTAGTGTAGAAATGGAACAAAATACTCCAAAATCTGTGTGAAGGTATGAACAACACAAAATAAGATTTAATGAAATAACAATCTATAGAAAATAGATTGCATTGTGCTATTTGTCCCTCCCTTTCCATAAGCACAGGCCAGATCCAGTGGTGAGTTCCTTCCAGGCAGTCTCTTATGCACTGTCCTAGTCAGACACCAGGGTCTGCTGTAGGTGTGCATACCACATAGTTTCCTCCACAGCAGAATCTTTACTGTTGGAAAACAGATGTACATCTTTCTGCTCTAAACCTATATACCAGTAGGGTGAGCTGCAATAAAATAAATGAGCATACTATATTACTGTAGGCTCTAACTTCAATTGAAGTTCAAATACTACACAGTTTATGCTTGGCCTAGGAGGCATTGTAAGACAAAAAGAAAGTCGAGTTAAAACAGAGAGACAAGATTGAAAGAAACATTGCACACTGCACACAGCTGGCTGTCAGATGAAGTAGGGAGAAGACCAGCCTTTCCCTCCTGACACAGTCTGTGCTTTGTAGACACTGGCAAATCCCCAGAGATCACAACTGCCCCCAGAAAGGACAGAAAACCTTCAAGAAAGACTTTTTCCCCCACCCCCTTGTGTAGCTAATTTACAACTAGTTGATCTAGTGCTTACTCCCAAAGTCACAGTATCGCTACAGATGAGTCTACCACTGGCATAACACAACAACTTCATGCTATTGCACTGCATGGCTGCTTTGAAACACTAGTCTAGAGAAGACCAAGTGAAACAAGTAACTTGAGTCTCAACTTAAAATGAAGCCATACCCTGGGCAACAGTTATGAGAAAAATTACAGAGGACCTCATACAAGTGTAAAAAAAGTTCGGCTCTAGCATCCAGTTAGAAGCATATAAAAGCATCACACTAATGGGTCAGAGCAGAAAATAAAGGCTCCCCAATGCCAATGCAAACTTCTTCATAATGCTGCCTGTAAGAGGATGAAATTTAGTTTTAGTGCAAAGGTACTTTTGCTTTCCATCTTATTTCAACATGGACTTTAGTTTTCGTACAAAGAACTTCGATAAAGGAGTGGAAAATATTAGTCACAAAACTTGGACAATACACGCAAGATTTCGGTGAAGTCAAACACAGCTTTTTTTCATTACAGCTGATCGGCAGAGATGTCAAGATAATTTCAGAGCTAACAACCTCTATCAGTGGAGCATCAGAGTCCAACCAAACTTTTTTGACAGAAACCACAGACACTGTTTGCCCATAGTACGTATAAGAAAGGAGTCAGGCACTAACATGAGCAGTATAGACACAGCCAAAGGGTAGTAAGATCTTCTACATGAAAAGAAAATAATAAAGAAAAAGAACAGGTCAAGGAATTTGGAAAACTATTCCTACAAATGCAACTACTAAATGAAACATTTTAACCAGGGGAAACAATCCAGGAAGAGTTACTGTAAGTATATTGCTTTTTACTTTGAAATATTAACAGACATATATAGCATAGGCAGGGAAAGACCACTTTTTCTCTTGGCATGTTATCTCACCACAGCAAAGGCATTAATTTCAGAAATGTTTCTGATGTATAAACAACTTTATCCCTATTTATAAATGAATATTTTATGTAATACCCTTAGTACAAACTAAGCTAAGTGATATTGCAGAAGGCAATTAATTAGAATTTTCATACAGAGGTTTCTCTCTGAAGGCCCTGCTGAAACCTACACTGCCTTCTAAAAACTGTGACATTAAGGATTTTACACATTCATGGCATAGTATAAAGATGTTGAAAAAAATCTAAATGTGTGTTGTAGTTTGAAAAATAAAAGAGATCTAGTTCTTGGAACTATCAAAGCAGTTTTCCTGATATTTTTCTGATCTAAAATATAATCAGAGTTAAATAGTCATTTCCAGATCAGTATTGCTTATATCATTTACAGACAGGATTTATTTATTATCAGATAGGCTTATATGTCTTCTGTGAAAGATCAGTAACCATGTGACTTAGTTTTGGATTACAATACCTGCAGGAAGCACAGTTCATACACATAAAAGTACTCACAGCCTTGTGGCAAGAAAGACTTATAATGAGCAAACAAAAAAGATACTACATGTTATTTATATCTATCAGATGAAAAGAGCTTCAAAACATGATCCAAATCTAGTTAGCTGAACATTACAAAGCTGTATTAAGTAAAGATGTAAATGGGCAGCCATCTACTATAGAAGATGAGACAATAATACTGGTAATGTCACAGGCTGCACTTGTGAAGATCAGCCAGTTCAAAACGGACATAAGTTGCTCAAGGGCATGTAGTAGCTTTGTGTACTATTCCTGCCTTATTTTAAGACTAAGACTATTGCCAGCAGAAGCAAGCAACATTAGACTAATGGAGCACAGACTATACTTCAGAGGAAAGAAGACATTCCAAAGCAGCACTGAAAAAGATAAAATCAGCATGCTTTGTTTCTCAGTCTATTAGGAAATGTTTCTAATATAAAAAGAAGAAAACCACAAAGCCCTGCATATATGTTTGGCAAACATGTATACTCAACAAGCCCTGGAGAACAGTATTTGTTTAAAGCTTCCAACTCAAAATGGTTCTTAAACACAATAACATTTCCTTGTACAAATGTGACTTCATGCAGCAATCACTTGGAGAAAAAAATTACTGATTGACACTGAATTTTGTTTGAAGTAGCTGAACTAGATGACTTAATATTGCTTAATCTTATATTCATGGAGCATTTCTGTATAGTAGACAACCTACATAAGCTTCTTCATCTCTCAGAAATGCCACAAGGCTGCTCTTCATGTTTTTTATCCAGTGAAGACTGCTGATTTCAACAAGAAAACACCCAAAATGAAAAGCATTGGGTAAAACAGTCTAAAATAAGGGGATAAGCAATAACCATATGCCAGACTTCTAGTATGTTATTGTAAATATGCAATATTATGTAGTTTTAAAAGATTGCTCTCAGGTGGAGGGTGGGATGAGTAAATGTTAATGGAATGAAAAGGTAAGTGTAGAAGAAGTCATACAGAAAGCAAGCAGACAGCATAGTTAAGAGATCTTCACAAAAGTAGGAAACAGGCAACAGCCACTGGCAGTCCTACAGGGCTTCAGGAATCATGAGCAACAGACTTGAAGTTATCAATACCCTGTGGGAAATCTGTGGGGCAAAATGTAAAATTGGATATAGATGTCAGGGAAATAAGGAAAATAAGACTAAAGGTAAATGCTGTGATTTCACAGGTTCAGAATTCTGGGAGATACAGCCTTGTTCTGCATTTCAGTTTGAAGGAAAAATTGGTTTTAGGAGCAGTACACACAGACCTGAAAGAAACAGAGTTTAAATAAATTAAAACTATTGTTGTAATTTCAGGCAGGTCTATACAAACTTACTGTTCTATGTAACCTTGGCAAATAACTTGGCATCACTTGAAAGCCAAAGGAGAAAAAATAAACATACTCAAGGTTGCAAGATGGTTTTTTTTTATTTTGTTTTTCAGACAAACATATTCTTGACTGCCTCATTGCCAATAAGATACTACAGCAATTGTTATAGTCTTTTTTTAATTGACTTTGAGATATTTGCTGGACAAATATCAGTGTTAATCTCAGACACTTAATTTACCCAGTATTGTTCAGTTCACATCGAATTCTGATCTCCAATTCAGGTCACCCTGAACTTTCAGGGTAAAGATGCCTGGTATCTCTGCTTCAGGTCAGGTTCATACTTGTAATCTCTTTTCAAAACTGGAGAAGCAAAGAGGCAGATACACCCATTGGACTACTTGGTATTTTTTTTTATAACTATTTTTAAGGTTTTGCAAATTACAAAAAGGTATTTTAGTCTAATGCTTCAGCCATGACTCATAGATAAAGGTTAGACATATTACACTGCTAGAACTGGTTGCACTGCTATATGGAGACTAAATTACAAGTGGAATATAAGACAGCCAGAACTGAGCACAGCAGCTTTAAAACTCACATATTTTTCATGTTTAGGAGGATGAGTCCAAGTACTTGTTGGCTTTGCAAGGTATTCAGAGCAGAAGAAAATGGGATCAGTTCTAAGTAAGTACCAATGAGCTATTTATGTTCTGCAGTATGTGTAGCTGAATAGGACAGACAAAAATATCAAAATTCAGAGTGGAAGTTTACTTTGCAAGCTTGAAAACATGCAAGAAAGTGCAACATCTTCACAACTACCCCTGGTGATCACCTTCATATATCCAATTCCTTTATAGGACAGGAAGTGCCAAGTGTCATTTCCCTAGTGGTAGAAAGGTACATTTCAGTGGAAACCTCTTTTATATTAAATAGTATAAGCCTAAACTAATCCTTGGATTAAGTCCAGATTTGGGCCTGTGAAGAATTTGTAAGACAAGTATTTTGGGTCAATAGTTTAGAAGAATTCAGACTGTTGGCAAAGTCTGAAGACATGTGGTGGATAAGACACATGCCCAGGTTCCTCCTGCAAGTCCTTAGCTGCTACCAACCTCAGTGAAGGCCAATCATAGCTGGAACTTTTGGTCAGCGTGTCACATCAGGGTGATGAAATGCTTCCATCCAACATGTGGTGTCCTCCACAGCAATACCGAGGTGTGTTTGATGACTCCCAAAACTGCTGTTTGCATGAGGTTAAGTGGCAGAAATCCAGACAGCATGGCATTTCCAAAAGTGCCTCCTGAACTAGGACTTCTCTCCCACGCAGCAGCAGCCAGGAGAGCCCCTCGCACTGGAGAGGGTATAATAAATGAATGATAGCTCCCACAAGACCCTACAACAGCCTTTGTTATATACATTTGTTTTACATTTTCCCAATTTTAAAAATTAAGGAAAAAAGTAAAAAGGTTTTTCTGTGTCAGTTGCCTCACCAGGCAGCACTCTTTCTGCTTCACAGATTAATGGTAAAGACAAATCATAATCAGAAATAGAAATACAATAGCCCCACTGATTATGCTTAGTAAGACAGAAAAGATTGTCATTTATTCTGCATACAAGTGTTATTGCTGACAGAAATGAAAAAACATTTGCATCAGTAATAGTGAATATGACTCAGAAGCAGCTCTTAAGGCAAAAATCATTCAAAGAAATAAAGATCCTCACTCCTCATAACAACATGCTTCAGGATTTTATATACAGAAGAGGCTGATAGCCCATGGGAAGGAAAAAACAGTATCTTTTACTGGCAAGAGCTACTAGAGATTTATGGATACCAGAAGCTGATAGTGGCAAAATTTCTCTTACAATATATTTCTCTGACCAGGTCAGACTGATCAGGAAAGCCTGACAAAACAATCAGTGAGTCCCAGCATGTACTCTTTCACAGAAACAGAGAATTTTATCAAATTAAAAATAAATGGGTGCTCACCAATTAAAAAAGCTACAAAGCTTCTAATGGCTGATGTGCAGCAGAAATCTATGAAGCATCATGCAGCACTCACACCAAAGCCAGTTTTGCTTTTAACTAAAATTTTACAAAATGTTCTGTGATACTGAGCTGCTGTTGTCAAAACTGTAGCTCATATGAAAACAAAATACTTAATGTAAGAGGGATATCCTCCTAGGTTTGTCTGACGCATAATGGAAAGCACCCACTGGAATATATCCCTTGTGTTTTCTTCTACTAATATAAGCATAAGCATTTTTTCCAAGTTACCAGCATCAATGTCCTATAACTGCAACACTTAAAAATCTGTTGGTGTAAATGGAGTTACGTGCACTTAAATGGAGCTATTGGCAGTCAGACATTTGTTTTTCCTTAAATTGTTTAGTCTCTCACCTCACTACTTCCATACTCTTTCCCAGAATCAGGCAGGAGACTCCTACAAGTTTATGAAATTATTGTTTAAGAATAGCAAACATGAAAGAAAGAAATCTGATTTTAATCACCACCAAGAACTGTCTAGATTAGTAACAATGTGTCATACTATACTGTAAACAACTGGAGAGAAATAGAAGTCCCTTACAACTAAGATTGCACTAACTTTTCATTATTTACCTTATGTTCAGAGCTTATATTCAGCTCTCAGCTGACCAGTCAATTTAGATGTCAAAGGCCTGTAAATATTACTATAAGATCTTGAGCCCTTTAAGACTTTGCTACTAAATACAAACACCAACATTTCATAAAGTATATATAATGATTCCTGTCCCAAAGAGGCTCCCACCTAGAAATCTAGTATTTTCCTTGTGCTTCTCCTAAGCACAATTTAAATAAGCAAATGCCATATCTGGAAGAACTGCACGAGAGTACCTTGAGATGGAACTACATTTGTTACAGCAAAGAGAATATTTGATTCAGCGTAATAAGATCTAGGGTGTTCAGAAAAAAACCTTTTTAAATATAAGTTTTATACAGATCTTATTTAAACTAGAGACAGATTTTCAATAATGTAATTTCAGTTAATTTTTTATGCATTGAACCATAGCTAATCCTACAATAATCTCCTTTTTTCTAAAGGGTGTCTTTGGAGGAAGTGCTGCAATGGTCCCAGTCTTTTGAAAAGCTGGTAACAAGTAAATGTAAGTAATTGTATGTTTGTTTCCCAGACAGATTACTGAAAAAGTTCTCATGAAGTAATATCAGTAACTCATGCAGTATAATGTATGTTGGTTTATATGCAACTAATGAAAACCAACTTTGTGTGACATGCTTAGTATGCATCAAACTGAAAATAAATGTAGCTTGCTGTAAATGCTTTCCCAAACTTGCCATTTCTGCAAGGACATGTAGTTCTTTTAAAGACACATAATAGGGGCAGGTTTACCTGCCATATTCCTGCTTAGAACACTGTATAGCAATATATATTAGAAGAAAATGAAAGAAAAGTTGACGTGGAAAATCTTGGAAAATCACGATACCTAATGGCACATCTATATAACATTATGCCCTGGAAGATAACTCAGACCCTCATCTCAGGTATGGGAAGAACTGTAGCTGCAGTAGCAAATCTGAAGTTTCTCACTCCAGCATCCCCCTGCCTTATTCAGGGCTCAGAGCACTCCCACATTTCTCATAAATTTCTTGCCGCAAAACATCGCTACTGAACTACTTTTTTAAAAAACTCTGATGAGAAACTCATGTACAGAGTTACAGCACAAGCCCCTAAAGATTATTCCTAAGGACTGGCATCATTTTCAAACTGCAAACAAAGAGCAAGATTTTCAGAATTTGCACATTCTGTGTGTAAAGAAAAAAAGAAAAAGATCTTCCCATTACAATCTTTACCAGTAAACAATCTAATATGTTTATATATAATATATATAACATACATATAATATATAAATATAAATATAACAGTTTTCAGATAAAGCACAGTGAGAAACTGCACAACAGAAAACACTTAAAAGACAAAATTATAGCACAAGCAGGCAGGGATACAAGCAATCACCCTTTCTGCCAGATGACAGGCAGTGTCTGGAAACATGAAAGCCCGGAGTGCTGCACTAGTAAGAAAGCTTTCTTTAAACAAAATGCTGATAGCTTCCAGCAGTACGTGGATGCTGTCCTTCATTCACTACACTTAGATGGCGCTATTACTTGATTTTGAATTCATCCAAATGCTTAACAAGAGTCAGAAAGTGCGAAAGTGTACCCAAGTGAAAAGCCAGAAACTCTAAAGCCAATGGATTTTCAGCTCACTATGAAAAGTAAGTGAAGTGTTTGCCTATCTTAGGCTTCAGTCTCAAAGCACATCTTTGTACTGCAAGTACCATTCTTGCTCAACTGCTAGCACTGAATGAAGCTTCATAAATGTTCTTCTGGCTAGAAGCATTTTAATGACTCCATTACCTAATTCTGTACAAAGCAAGTCTAGTGACACTTCAGAAATTTAATCTTCACCAAGATCTCACTGATTTCTGCAGGCAAACTCCATTGTCAGGTGTTTCAAAGACAACCTCAGGTTCAGAACCACTTATTTGCTAAAGACAGTATTATTTTAACTGCTTTACTTCACTCTGTTACAGCAGCAAGAAAAGTTATTTCTTTTTTTTTTTGCTAATTGTTTTTTCTCCAAGTTCTTACACCAAGAAAAGCATGTCTTATCAGTCAAATCATGATTATTTGATAATACTTAGGTATCTTCTGTAGAAAACTGGAACTGGAATTTAAAAACACTAGTCAGTCTGAATATGTTTGATAATGTTCACAGAGACCATGAAGAATAAAGTTTTCTGTGCTCTGTCTCTGCATAGTGAAATGCCATTGAAGCTAAAGGGAGCTCTGCATGCACAGGAAAATGCAGTGCTGAGGTATAGGGCTTCAGGGTGAGTTAGAGTGTTTAATTCCCCACTTTAACATAATCTATTAAGAATATTTATAGATGTACAATCAAGAAATATACTGCATTGTAAACATCCCTGTTGCCTTCAAAGGACTCTAAAGGTAATGCATATGTAACGGTACATAAATTTGGCTTCTGAAATATTTACAGATGGGCCTGTGATTTACAAGACCTACTTGAAGACAGAGCACAGTGATGAAAATATGGAATTCTGGCTTGCTTGCGAAGCTTTTAAGAAGATCACATCACAGAGGAAAAGGATTTCCATGGCCAGGAAACTTTTTACAAGTTACATTCAGCCCCAGGCTCCCAAAGAGGTGACGTAATAACACATGCACTTTATCTCCTCAAATAAAAATACCTGATGTGTAATGTTGCTTACAAATGCCTAGCATTTGCACTCTGGTATCCAGGGAGTGAAAACACTTCATGTATTACTGAGAGTGAAAACTGTAGCAATGCATCCTCCCAAAACATTTGAACCCAGAATTTTAATACTTGCATTCACGTCTTGACAATAGGTAAATCTTTCAACTCTATCCACCAAAGATACAAGGAAAAGGCACAACTAGATTAATAACCAAGTTCTTGGATCTGTTCTAATCTTTTCAGCATCTGATCCAGCAGCCACTGATATCACTCCAATAGCTTTTGCATCATGCCATTGTTACAGGTATATATAACTCTGATCTTTGTAAATCTAAATGGACAAAGTAAAAACTCCACCCAATGCTGTCCCCTTTGTAAAATGGGCTAAAATAAAGGTTCCAAGACAGAATTGTTTTCTGCTTCCAACAATACAAGATTTAGGGAAAACAGAGAAGATCTATATACAAAATGTTTGAGGGTGATTTTATTTTCCTGACAAGTGGTTATACAGACAAGGGTCTCTCCTGCACAATCAGTCATGCTTTATGACCTTTAACTATTCCAGCTTATTACTTTCCTTGCAAAAAATAAACTCAATCTGGCTTTACTGTTGCTGCCTCTGGCAGACTGAACATAACTGAAAAATCAGGCTGGTTTATGCATGACAATAAAATTATTATAGAATCTCAAAATGCAACTTCCCTGTTGACACTGAAGGGAAGCCAAAACCAACTCAGCTGCATCCTCAGATGCTGGCTGAGAGCAATTGCTGTTTGAAATGACTAAACCATTCCCACTAATACAAAACTTAAAGAAATCTGAAAGTCCCTCTGCTGGTTTTAAGTGCCAAAGGGCAAGAAAATGCATTTTTAGTGATTTTCTGCTGTATTTTATTTTTAGTGTGTGCAGCTATAGGAAACTCAGCGAGACATTTGCATTTTCAAAAAAAAAAAAAGTCAGTATTGTCAACTACAAAATTCATCAATCAAATATACAGGCTTAAATTAGGACATTTAAAAAAAAGATGTGCAATTTTTCCTCCCCCCTAAAATAGTATGTATTTGCATCTTGCTTAACTTCCTTAAGGCTTGAAGTCTAGGGCCCATTTTCTGCACAGGAGCAAAGCAATGACTTTACCACTACTCTCAACCTCCACTGATCACAATAGTCAGGTTCAATATGGCTTTTCCATTAAGGATGTGGGACAACCTGGGAAATTCAGACAGCTCCCATGCTTCTTGTCCCCAAGGGAGCAAGCTACCCATATAGCTACTACCATACCTCTTACTACATCAAACAACAAAAGAAGAGCAAATTGGGCAACTAATATGATGGGGTTTTCTGGCAGTATAAGGAGAAATCCACTCTGCTAGAATCAATGTTTTTCGTTAGGTGCTGATTTAAAATTAAAGGGTATATGAAAAGATATAAATAAAAGGCATTTAATAAAAGTCCTCTGAATTCAATCTTCCTTACCTTTCCTTTGCATATATTCAGTGATACTTGAGTAATGTTGTTTTCTGTTTCAGATTAACATTGACAGTCCTGCGAGGAAAGCAATTATAAGGAATATTCAAGAGCCAACACAGTCCTGTTTTGAAGAAGCACAGAGAATAATTTACATGCACATGGAAAGAGATTCTTATCCACGATTTCTTGAATCAAAGTTCTACCAAAACCTCAAACACAGCCTTCAAAATAATGGCAGCAATTCAGTGGTAAATTAAACAGAAAGGTTGAAAATTTAGAAAGGTTTCCTGTGGCATATAAATATTAAAATTTTAAAGCAGACAGAAGAAATTGGACAGTGGACAAATATTACTACTAATCTGCTCAACTGTTTTGTTTATGTTAGAATTGATGAGGCACTGTCTTTCCTCTTCCCTTTATTTCCCCATGGAACAGTTCTGATTTTGTTTTCTTCTCCCATCAATGAAACCCTAAAAGCTAGTGAAAACTAAGTATAAAGAAGTTTCAGCTGAAAAGGATTGCCTAAGGGTTTAGTCTTTTACTGATATTAGAGCTCTAATAACATCTTCAGCATTCCTTTTTGGAGAGGCCTGAAATAAAAGAATGATTTTGCTGCTAGAAAATGCATGTTTGTCCTCACATAGCACAGAAGAAAAAACACCCGCATTGCTGCATTGACTTTTTTGTTGTTTTATTCTTGTGTTCTTCCAAAGTAATAGGTGATACATTATGAAGTACAGCTATTTGCTTAATCTTAAACTATGAAGTGTAGTATTCATACAGAGTAGAGTTGATTTTATGCTGAATTATGATGTGCAACATAATCTAGAGAGATACTTGGTCTATGGTATACTACAATACTACCAGTGTATCCTGAATTTATCTCCAGTGATAAGACTCATTAGTAATTTGTCTTTTTTTTCTGGGCATACCAAAATGTATTTCTTTCCCTTCAGTCACCCTAGTAATTAGATACAAGCAAGCCTGATGTTTGAACATCATACTGTAACACAAACAGGGCTCTTTCTCTCATGCATAAACTGTAAAAGACAACTTACTGATTCATTGAACAAGTATTGAAGTAGCCTGGTTTACATTCAAAAACCAATCTGACTCCTCAAGTCTCATTAAAACTGGAATCATTTAATTATTTTAATGTACATCAGCATAGACACTAAAAGCCATATCTATAAGAGACCTTTCTAGCATACTCTCAAACTGCATTATTCCGACGAGCACAAAGAGCAAGTAATTCTGACATCAGCCACAAACTCTGATAGCATCACACCGATCCTCTAGAGTGATTTCACAGGAGAAATGAGGTATTCATTCACTTGGATACATTTATTTAACTGAGATTACTTCAATCATGTTGCTAGCTTATGCTTCTAAATTACTTAAAGTTGTAACTTGTCTGCCTAGTTTTAAAAGGCAATTTTTGTGACAATGTTATTGTCTCACCTCTGTTAGGAAAGCCTAGTCTTTCTATGGAAAACTCACACCTGTTCATTGTGCCATTCACTTAACCACAGTAAGTTTTTGGTCTTCCTGAGAACTTCCCATGATTTTTCAAAGTGAATGTCTAAGCCTTTTCCTTAAAGGCAACCATGAAGACACTCGTCAGTGCAGACAGTGAACAAACAATCTGGTTTCACTTCTGTGGCATCTATCTTGTAATGAAGAAAAACTACAGTTGTTCTTTTAAAACATTCCTCTTGACCACGTATTAAGATATTATTTGTGAATATATTTTAAGGAAAAGTCTCAATCCCTCCTGAAAGAATGATCATTGTTTAGGGTCTCTGAGCAGTGGTATTATTGTGGTGTACAATATAGGTTACATTTGGGAACAGGGACAATGATTTACTGATGACAGATAAATATCTTGGTCAACAGCTTCAAAATGCATAATATGATTCCTGGGTTTGTATGACATTATGTTGGTAAACTGTGATTGTCTATGAGTGCTCTGATGCCAACACATGAACCACAGTGTAAGTGATCATAATTATCATCAATTTCTAGGGTTACAAATACTTTTTGCCCATAATTTTAATAAAATTTTTAAGCCAGAATTTATGTTCATGTCTAAAGCTGAATACAAAGCAAGTCTGAGCACAATCTACACTACTATAGGAAACATTAAAGTAACTTCAGTGTTGTAAGAAAAATGATTGTTAGTATAGAAGATAACTCTTTCCTTTTACACTGACCTTATATAAATGGATTATCATATAATTGTGTGAATTGTCAGCTCATAAAACCACTTTCAGCAAGCAAGGACTCCATTGACAATGCAGCTCTTGCTGCTCTTTAACTGCTGATGCATGTACAGTGCATTGGTCTTTGGCTTGATTGACCCTGCAGATGCCACAACCTCACAGCAAAGAAAAACTGGAGAAACTACTAAAAAAGCAATCCCTGCAGGGAAGCAGATACATGACAAAAGCCAACCTGAGCAGAAGAAAAAAGTAAACAAAGGACTATACTATGAAAAGCATTCCCATTTCTGTATGAATTAGAAATTCAGAAGGCCTAGGTGCTAGTCTGTGAGTGAAAAAGGCCTCTATTGACCAAGGATATATTTCCACATCCAAACAGGCTTCACATGCAGTCTTCTGAAGGGCTTAAACAAAGAGGCTGGTCAGGTAGTGTGTCGATAGACAGAAGCCTTCTCCCTTCAAAAAGGAGATTATTCGGCAGGGCTGTGGAGGGGGAGGGAAAAAGGAAAAATTCATCCATACAGAATGCTCAGAGAACTCATAGAGGGACCCAGGAACTCATTTTTATGTCATCAAATATTTAGCATTTATTTTGCTAACAGGTCATTAATCTAGCAACCCTTATTGCTGGCAGGTGTGTTAACTTTACATTTCCTTCTAGAAGCAACCAAAAGATTGGGTTTGTGTGTGTTGTGTGTGTGTGTGCATCCCAATGTTGGAAGACAAGAGGGTCTTTTCCCCAAATAGATTTATTGTTAACTGGTAGAGATCTTGCTCCTGCTTGATTTTTCTTTGGTGTGACCAGATGTACAATGACAGTGTATTTCACCAGATCACATGATTCATAAACCAGTTACTAATGGCAGCAGCAATAACAAACCACTGCTTTTAACGTTTTCATTAACAGGACTTGAACAAGCCCAGGTACGCTTTCCACTGGCAGGCAACACTAAAGGGTATTTGCTCACATTAATCATTCAAAGCTACTCTTCAGATAGATTAAAAAAACACTATAAAATGGCTAAATTGGCAGAATTCTCTCTCATTCTTCCCTTGTTTATTTAACGTGAATAAAAAAATTATAACATCAAACAATAGCAATTTTTCAAACACATTATATTTGGCAAGATAAAAACTCAGATTAATAAAAACACTATGGCAATTAATTGCATACAACCATGGAAACTGTTGACCTATTCAGGCTCCCTAAAAAATACTGGACAGATGGTCTGATGGTTTTTTGTTTGTTTGCTGTCATTTGGTTGGCTTTTTTTTGGGGGGGTGGGGAGGTTTGGTTGTTTAGTTGGGTTTATTTTTGGTTGCTGTTTTTGAAAAAGCTGATAATTGGATCATTTTACTTTGTACGTACGAGCTGTGTTGGCCTGCTTTCTTGATAAAAGTGACAAAATTCTTCCTCCATTTCCTACTCTATTTTTATACTGCTGCTTTCATGACTTCCACATCCAGTCTATGTGTATAGATGATGACAGATGTAGAATAACAAATGCAAATTGTATATCAGGTCTAAAAGATAAAGTAAGGATCTGCTTATAATTAGAGCCAGTCAAAATAAAACTGTAAAAATAGATTAGCCTGATCTTTTCTGTATAGATGGATGGTAAATGAGAATATATAATGTCTCGCTGCTGTCTGATGAAAAGCCTTCAGTGACTGAGTTGTTTGGAGGCTTTTCTCTCAATTTCTCTCTATTTCATACTTCCGTATTAACTCTAGATATTTCTGCTTTTAAACCTCAAGAAATAAAAGCAGGCAGTCTCACTCTAAGCATAGTAATGAAGTAATATGCAGAACTTCATACTGTAGACAGCTGATTTAAGCAAATATGAACAGAGATGTTTACCACCAATTACAGTGCAGATAAGGATGTTTAGGAACCTACAGCCTCAGAGAAAAGGGAAATGACTGTAGCATTTCCAAGTATTGCCAAATATATAGTACTGTTACAATCACAGGTCCCTTCAGAAACTGATGTTTGGTCTAATGTTCACTAAACACAGAGGAAAGTGCAATGGAAAAAGTCTTTGGGAAAGAACATTTTTCTGTACATGCCAGTTACCTGGATAACACTGCTGCAGACTGTTGCCTTTTCTGGGCAAAAATAATTCAGTATCCTAATAAAGGCTTCTCTACAGTGCCCTACAACAAATCTTCACAGAAGTGGTAACCTCTCTTGGAGGATTTACCCATTTAATAACTTGTCAGTAGCACTGAGTAACTGTACAGCTCTGAATGCTTTGATTTCAAAATCTTATATTTCAAACTAAATAAAATAAAATAAAATTTTAAATTAAAATTCAAAATAGCAGTCCCAATTCAGGGGCTGATTAGAATGCACAAAGGATTACAACTTTTTCTTTTTTTTTTAAATGAAAAAAGAAACAGGTACAACAAAGTAGAGAGAAAGAGGAAAAAAAAAAAAAACACAAAAGAAGCAAATTGTATATTGGAGAAACAAATCATGTAGCCAAGCACTCTTTACATATTACACATCATAGGTGCACAGATTCTAAGAACTATGACTTTTTATTACACCTGCAACAAGACATCAGCCACTGCAGCCAAAGTGTGCAATTGTGTTTTTAGACAGAAATGTAAATATAAATTTATAAGAGCATGATAACATCAAATCATGGATTCTAGGCAGTGCCTTCCTATTGATTTTTTATGTCTGCATATCCTTTTAGAAACAGTGTCACGGAAGGAGACATCTTAAAGCATGCTGCTAATGGTCAGCATTAAGTACATATACATTCTGTCTTGACTCAAATGCATAAAGACTTTACAGTATCTAGTGCCCTTGGGCTATCTAAAACTTCCCCTGGGGCTGGTAGGTCTGACCAGGTAGATGAGCATATTGCACATCCCCTACTGCAGTGGCAAATGGACAGAGTATCCTATAGCATCTTAGTAGGACTAGATGGCTCTGCGTACACAACTGAACAAGCCTGCTTTCTTAACTATATTAGCTAAGGGTTTAATAATTGCTAGCTTTTTTTACCCACCCCTGGCATCTTAAAATATTCACTGAAAAGCTGGTTTTTCTATAATTTGAATTTCCCTCCAAAATTGCTATAAGTTATCCCAAGATGACCACGCTTATACAGAATTTTTTTCTGTCCTGCACCTCAGATTTTGCTCAACAAAAAGTACAATGCAACTGTCCAGGGAAGAAGAGCAGCACCTTACTGCAAGGACATGCACCTCACAAAACAGGAAACATTATGCAAGCATGTGTGTATGTGTCTGTGTGTGTGTTTAACCACGGCAAACCCCCGCTTA